AGATAAGCAAATTGAATTCCATTGTTGTGATTAAAGTATTGCTTTTCTAAAATCTTAGTTCGTAGTTATAATATTACTCCCTGTGGGATCGATATCTAGGACTCCATTAGAGCCCTATATTACTTGAGCGATACGTATACTTGCATTGATAAGTGTGACTTTACAAATATTGAATATTTTATACATACATCTTTATTGAATCTATAAATGTTATTAAGTTTTGGTGCAGTTGCTGAGGAATTAATTCTTTTAGCAGCAGTATTAAATACTTATATTTTTAAACATATATAAGTCGCTGTCAGTAAGGGATCTCATCACCATTACTATTGTAGATACATTTTCTTTGCTTTCTCCGAGCCATCGACGTCTGGTCCGTGCTCCAATGTATCTCGTAAAACATGCACATGATAACAAAAAGACCGAATAAGGGCAGGAGTCAGTGAGGTATGCAAGCACCCAAAATAAGCATCGATTCATATAAAGATACGACTGATACGTACCTTCGAGAAGGGTTGCTCGATTCCGGCAAAAGAGAATCCATGAGGATGCCGGTGGGAAGAAGTGTCGGCAGGGGCCTTTCCCGCGAGATGGAAGGCCCTTGTACCTCCTCAAACAACGAAGTTGCTTGCTGTCTGGTGACATTGAGGTGTTCCGGCGAGGTGTCTGATCACCAGAAATGTGATGCGAGGAGGTGGCGGAGTTGGTGTGTCGGTAACACACAACCAGAATGAGAAAAGCAAGAAGAAATGAAGAAAATCTAGAGTTGTGTGTTGGAACGGGGCTGATCCTTCACGAAATCAATTTCGGCAAGGGGTAGGCCGACTTGGTGTGGCAGGCGAGGTGGAGAGGTCAAAAATGACCGGATAAAAGGAAGAAGATCTCTTGAAAATGGTGGAGGCAGGCTGTAGAAGGCTGTAGACGGAGGAGCCCGACAGCAAAGGAAAACTCGGACGAGTTCGGTAGCTCCAGCGACCAAGAATTGCGCCGGCGACTTTGTCCGGTGGTGATGAGACCGAGACGTGCGGCTGGCCAAGAGGGAGAGGCTCAGACGTGTGGCTGGCCAGTGAGGTATGCTTCGGGAGAGGAGGTCCAGCGTCTGGAGAGCGCTGCGATTTAGTTCGCCGGCGAGGGGAAGTTGATGACGGGGTCTAGACGCGAAGTAGGAGGGCTCGCGAGGGCTGGCGGGGGCTTCGTGTGATAGGGTTGGAGGGAGAAGAGGCATGAGTTTTATATGATCGAAGATGTGTACTGGTGAAGAATACGTAAATAATAATAATAATAATAATAATAATATTATTATTATTATTATTATTATTATTTACGTATTCTTCACCCGTACACATCTTCGAGGCGAAGTGGATCTCCTTCCAAGCTAAAATCTACATTCTAGATGCGTTGGTGCAATCAGTTTTGTCATCCGTGGTCATTCGAAGCACTTTTTCAGTAATCGGGCCAAAAATAATAATTTGTGTATTTTTAGCCCGCCTGCGAAGTCATGACGAAATATACATCCTCCTTAAGTAGAATTGACGTTCCAGACTCACTCGTGTGGTCCATTTTGTCGTCCGGGGTCATTTGAACAACTTCACTGATGATCGGGTTAGTTTGAGCCAATTTTGCTCGTAACACGATTACTAATATTCATCAATCCAATCGAAGTCGTTCGACATGTCAAATGTCGATCGACCTTCGTCTAAGTGAAAGTCAAAGCCTAGCAGAATGACCCTGACTAAGTGCCCCTCAACACAAACTAAAAGGTTATGGGTGGGTGTCTAGACTATCAGATATTACGTACAGACATGTCGTAAACTCTGAGCCATGCAGGTGGACACCCTACACTTGTGACATCAAAAATTGATGCCAAAAAAGTTTTGATCAACCGATCACTTACATGTTTTATGTGTTCACATTTTCTCTTATGCACCTCTGCATGTTTTTGCTTGTGTATCATCTTTCTTGTTTATGACACTCTTTTTTGAGTCACTGCTGCTCAAACACTCACTACGACACTCATGTGTCTTCTTCGAGAATGGCTTGCCTATCAGCCTAACTAATGTATGATTTCCTCTAGCAAGAATTGTGCAAATTCACTACAAGTGTGCTCAATTCAGGTCATACCTTAGAGCTACTAAACCCCTTGAGTACATAATGTGAGCTCACAAGTTTGTCATGTACATGTGCATTGCCTTTTGTGTCTTGATAGGAAGTTAGACTCACTAAGTAAGTGAAACTATGTTAATTTTGATGCTTTAATCAGTATTGCTTATTGGGTGAATCTTGAAGAGCAATGTGAGTTATTACATCAGGATCAACATAGATATGACTGTGCTAAGGACATAAGGGATTTAACTGATGTACCTTGCATGCCACGGGTCTACTTTAAATGGCCCTATTTTTAAAAATAAAAAACTGATTAAAAATAATATATTTTTCTTTACTTAGTTTCCAACATATCTTATAACTATGAAAATAGTGAATTAGGCTATATGTGAGGACAAACCTTTTTTAAAATTCCTTCCAGGTGACACTC